GGTCCCAGAGAAGAATAGTAACACCTTTTGCTTTTACAAACTCCTTGACTAGATAAGAAGATGCTATCTCTTCTTAAAGAGGGGAAATGATTGATTAAACTTGGAGGTCCTGTGGACTTCTACTTTTGCCAGTTCCTCATGTTCAGTATGAGAGGCTTGCTCACAGAAAATACTACCTTCATTTTAGTGAGGCAACAGCCTTGTAGCAGATGCATGAATGATTATCATATTCCATTTCCAGGGCATTGGAGCACCCAGAGCTATGCTCAAGAGGCTGTTTGAGTGATGGTGGCTGCAGCCATGCTGCTGGGCTGCTGAGCAGGGTCAGCATCTGGCATCTGCCATCACCAAAGCCAACTGGGGCTCCCCAGCAGATTGCTAAGCACTGAATTTTTTAAGTCAGATGAGTCCAGCCCTGACCAGGGCCATTGCTTGCTGGTGTCAGAGGCTGAGGTAGACTGGAGCAAGACAGGAATTTTTCACCAGCACAAACAAGGAAAAGGGGAAGGAAATACTTCCCCTCTCACTGTAACATTAGAAGTACAACTGAATGTACTTATAATGTACATTATAAGTACAACTGAATGGTCAGTTTCAGTCATGATTTAAGACAGCAAGCTGGATCAGCTTGTTTTACATTTCCACTGTGAGGCTGTTTGCTACAAGCTTGAATTTTATGGGAGGTAACAAATATTTTGACAAATACAAAATTCACCCTAAACATAGTTATTTCAGCTTTTGCTAAGTAGATGAACTGCATCATGTGCACGTTTATTTAAGGAATTATGTTGTTTAATATAATTTGTCTTCACATGTTATTACATGGCAAAATAGTGAATGATGAGTCCATATTATTATTTTATTAGATTATTAACTTTTTACTTGTTATCTGTGTCAAGTTATATTTGCATGGAAATTAGAATTAAATTAAAAACACTATTTGTAATTATTCATGCTAATTAAATAAAATGACCATAAGTTCCCTGACTTCCTAAATATACTAGAATAGAAAAATCAAGCTTTTCTAAGCAGGTTGTGCATTAAAAAATTCTTTATTAGCTGGAAGAAAGGGTAGTTATAAAGAAGACTTTGGATTGGTTTAAGAATCCTATTTTAAAAAGAATAGATTTCATCCTTTCATACCAACTCTAATTCACTTAATTTGAGGAAAACAAATGTTTCTGCTTTTTAAAATCTGAGTTTGTTCCTTCATTTTAAATGACCAGGTTATTGAACTGAACAAAATTCTCTTCAGTTCACTCACTAATCTGAAATGAAGGAAATAGCATCTTTTCACCTTGCAGGAGGCTAAAGTTCTCAAAGGATTGTTTAGCATTTTAGAAAATCTTTCCAAGTGTCCAGCCAGTGATTTCCCCATGATTAACATCACTCCTTTCCTGAAAATCAGATTCTGTTTGAATACTACTTTATGTCTTTCAGGTATAGCAAGTATCCTTTTTTGTCAGTAATTCCAATTTTTTTTGCATACATTCATGTATGAATTAAAAAGAAAAAAAATAAACTGAATTGTGTGCCAGAGAGGGAAGGTGTGGAGGAAAGTAAAATCCATGAACTTTTTTCTCCCTCTGAATCTTCACAAGACAGTTGAAAATTTCTGCATTGTCTGTTCCATATGAAGGACAGCAGGGTAGTTTTCCTAGCCTAGTGTCGAGCAAGTCCCTAAGTGGCAACTCATTCATGGACATTCCTTGAACATACTTAATAGGGAGAGATAAGGATGACCTGCTTGCTGCATAGTAAAAAAATGGTTTTGTTTACCTGCTTTCAGAGATTTGAGTAATAAAAGAGCCATCTAAGATGTGTTAGTAGAATAATTGTGTGAAAGGGAGTGTTGGCAGCACTAGGCAAGGCTGGGCTGTACATAGCTGTGGTGCTAAGCTGTGTCTTTGAATAGATGCCCAGGACTTTGGGGGAGGCCTTCTGGCCTGTTGAAGAGGTTTGCCTGTTTTGCAGCATTTCCAGCTCTTCAGTTCCAAGAAGCTCCCAGACAGATAAAGGGACTTCAGCAACACCATTCCTTAACTATCTCACTACAGTTCATGATCTTAGGTAGCTACAGGTTGTTGAGGGTTTGGAGGGCTGTAGTCTCAGAATGGTGTGAGCTGAAAGAGCTTGCTGAGGACAGCTAGTCATGAGCCAGAGAGAAGGACCTTCTCTGAAGTTTTCAGAAAGGAAGACTTTCTGAAGACTGCATGATCTGGCATCATATAGCTATGGTTTGGAAAGACCTAGTGATACGTTTTTCTCTCTGGGAAGACTAAGCTGGGGAGACTTCCTTGTAGACTGAAGCTCTAAATCTCACATTGTGAAGTGACTCCTCACAGAATTTGTACCCTGAATGGGTAGGTTTGTTTCACATTTCTGTCAGGTATCACCTGAATTCACAGACTGCCCTGGGCATTTTGTGAGGCATTTCAAGGATGATACCTTAGCAGCAAAAGAGGCAGCCAGCAATTCAATACTCATTACTACTCCAATATCCCTTCCTGGGAGCAGGAGCTGGTGATACCAAAGAAATCTACATGCCTCTTCCTTCACTTCCTAGCTGGGGTAGATCAGGAAGCAGGACTGAGTTCCTCACATCTCTGGTCCTTCTTGAAAGCATTGCCCAGCCCCATAGCAAACATAGAATGAATCATTCATCTTTAATAGATTATGCAAATTGAGAACATCAGATCAATGAAGATCAATACCTGAAACCATTTAATTGCCAGCAAAAACATTTTAAGAATGAGCATTATCTGAAGTCCTTTCTTGGGTAATGGCACCATTAATCCAAACATTGGATCCTGGCCTAAGTGTACAGGAAAAATTCTCCGCCCCTCTTCCCCTGATGCCTTTCAGGTTGTTGAGGGCCTTTTTCTTCCCCTTTTCAATTCCAGTTTCTGAATTTCTCCATCATTACCACCAGTGAACAGCTCCCAGTGCTAATAGTTCTGCTTTTGTTACTCTGCACTGATTGAAATGTTGCATACCGATTGAGATGTTAGTGCTAAGTTGCCACCTGGGAATGTCAAGCTGGGTCTGAAATGAACTTTTCTCACTCTTGGATCCAGATGGATCAGATGGGGATGTTCTCAAGCTGAGCTGGGAGTGTGGCAGGGAACACAATAGGGGTAACACAGGGTGGGAGGGATGTGAAGAAAATTTTTTTCCTCAGCCTACAGTCTCTTCTGTGAGACCAAATCTGTCTCCTGCTGTGTCCTTGTGAGAGTCAAGTCCAAGACTTGTGCAGTGTCCCAGCCTTCAGGAAGCCTTCTCTCACATTGACAAGCTAGAATGCACCATCTTCACCTAGGCAAAAGAACTAAAAATAACTATTTTCATGGCCTCTTTGAATCTTAAACTCTGATTGTAGACACATCACCTTTACATTTAGCTGTGGGGATTTGCCTTGCTCTACTGCCTTTGTCCCTCAAAGACAAGAAGATATTTCCTGTAAGAGATGTAGATCTGCTAAACAGTAGATGAATGACAGCTGAGTTTTGCAAATACAAAGAAAGGTAGAACACTTTTGCCGCAGCTATGCCTTTTTTATTTTTCTGGTTGGCTAAGAAACTGCATGGCTACAAGGATTCTGAATCAAGCCTAATAGCTGTAAAAGCCATGAAAAAGGTCTGGGATGTCATACTTTCTAGACATTTCCTGAATAATATAGTTCATGTCCCATGTTCTCCATGAGATTTTGCAGACACACTGGATGTACTCTGTGTTTGAGCTGTTATTAATCCTGCATGGTCCCAAAGTTCTTGGTAACCAAAAGTTGCATGCAACAATATGCCTTTGCTCAGTGTTTCCTGGGCAAGCAATGACTGCCTGCCTCAGCCATGAGCTGCCCTGACATCAGGGGCTATTAGCTGGGGCTTCTGTAAGAAAAAATTGAGATACATACTCCAGTGCTCTTGATTCTGTGCCATCAGAGGACAACTTTTTGGTCAAGGGACAAGAAGCTTCTTCCCTTACTAACACAACTTAGACCTCTTTGTCATGAGTTGTTTCTCAACTTTTACCACAAGGTTTCTAGAGGGGCTGCAAAAATTGTTGAGAAAGGGGAATATACCAAACAGGGTCAAGTCACTTGAGCCTTGCAGCCACTTTCGCTACCCAGGAGGAGATGTGGAAGTCTGGTAGCTGTGTGAGCAGCCACCAATGGCAACCACCAAGGCCTAGAGAAGATGGGCTGTGACACCAGAATATTTCCTAACAGCTCTAAACACACGCAGGGCAGGCAGCCTACACCAGCATCAGGACAGTGTGGGAGTGACCTGTGGCCCCAGGCCAGCCTGTGCCACTCAGGTTCTGCATGTGCCACCAGCAAAAAGGAAGTTTCAGTGAAGCATCTGCTACAGGGGTTGCCTCCTATTTCTCTGCATCCCAATTTGTCTGCTTTCATGTGCTTGATCACAGTTTCTACTCCCCCAGACACACCTGAGTTCAACGTGCCCACACATGAGGAAAGGCTGTGAAAAGTTTTTTGCCAGCTTTCCTAAGAGACTCATGGACTTAAGGAGGAGGGAGTTTAGCAGTTGCAGTTCAGCAGATCTCAGTTTTTAATTTGCTAATGCCAGGGCTGAATAAAACTTAAACTATTATTTCTCCAAAAGAAAACCAAGTGGAGATCATGGGTAAGCCATGACCCCATTGTTCTCAGATACACAGGAAAAAAATCACAGTCCATATTTGGACATATTTCTTCTCCACCAACATCCCAACCTTGAGCCCCATCTGGGCACACAAGTTTGTGATTCACATCTGGGTTTGCCTGTCTTTGAGTCACACCTGACACATCTAAGTGTACCCAAAACCGCCAACACTCTGAATTTCAAACTTCTATTGAACCCTTATGTTCTCCACAGCCTTTCTGTCTCTTTCCTTGTTTGCCACAGAGGGTATCTTGCATTAGCAGAAAAAGCAGAAGCTAATGGTGATGAGGGAAATAAATAAAAAGCTTGGTTCTGCTGTTTGGTCAGGCAGCTTACCGGTCACCACAGGGTACGTCTGGGGTCCTGACACATTTGTCCCCAGGTCTGGGTTAGCAGAGGTGGATAGACTTGATTTGACTTCATCGAGACCAGGGGTCAGAGCTGGGAGGGAGTACTCATTACCCTGGGGAAGAGAGGAGAAAGACAGCTCGCTATTGATGTGATGGGAGAAAGGGAAGGGTGTACAGATGGGGGGGAGGAAGAGGAGAGGTGCAAGCCCTTGCACAGATGGAAGAGGAGGAGGAGGAGGAAATGGAGAAGATAAAGTGACAAGAAGGTTGAGGGGGATGAGGAGGGGGTATCCTAGGATGAACTATCCCACTTGCCTGCTTGATGCTGTGAAGGGGAAGAGAGGTGAGGGATCTGGCCTGTTGTCTGTGGTATGGCTGAGCCCTCATTTGGTGCTGTGGGGATGGGCATGGCTGTCTGTGCCAGCCCACGGGAAAAGAAAAGGGAAATCCACATCCCCTCCTCTTGGCTGAGTGGAGATGGGAGGTGTTTGCCCTGGTGACAAGAACAGCTGGGGCACAGGACTACAAAGACATGACTAGGACAGGCAGGCTGTAGGAAGCAGCCAGTGTTGGCTCACTGTCGCCAGGGTCTCTGCCTGGGTCGCCTGTCTCCCCTCCACTGTTACCTCTGTCCTAGCTTTTTAAAAACAAAGAAGCCTCATCCCCTGCCTCTGTCACTCTGTGCATTGGGGTATGAAATTGGGGAGGGGGGAGCCACATGGCTAACAGAAGGGTGGGAGGGGGAGAGCCATTGAATCTGAAAGGGTGTCCTGTCCGAAAGGCTCTGGTAATTGCCTTTTTATTGTGGCAGCCTCCAGACCAGACGCGGGAGCTGGAGAAACCAGGAAGGCTACAAAACAGCAGGAAAAGTTGCTCTGATTAATATTACGTTAAATTAAAACTGATTTTCTGCTCTTTCTCCTCCGTTTTTTTCCATGCACTTCCCCAGCCCCCTCCCCACATCTTCCCCTCCTCCAGCAGGTTCCATGCATGCTGCCCCCTCCCCGCCCCTGTCCCTGCTTGGCTAGGACTGCCTAGTCATTTCCAATTCCTTCTTGTATTGATCTTCCTGTAGAAATCAGTTTTGTAATTAGCTGCAAATTAGGCCTTCTACTGGGGGTGAGCCTGCCCCCTGATTTATCACCAGAGTAATTCGCTGTGATCGGAGAGAAATTAAAATGAACTCAATTAGGCTTTGGATTTGCTTTATGGGCCCTGCTCAGAGTTTCAGGGGGAAAAATGACTGTGCTGGTGCTTAATAGTCTAATGAAAGTAAATAAAGGTTATTCATTGTAATAAACCCAGGGACTCTGGGATGAAGGGAGTCCACAGCCAGCCTCTCCTTCTCTTCCTTTGTTGGTTTATGGCTTGGGGCGGTTTAAAAAGACTTTTGATTTTCATTTTATTAAGACAAACAGCTTTTGGCATAAAAGGCTGGGAGAGCAGGGGAGTAAAGAAAAGGTGGACAGAGCTGCAGAAGTGTGGAAAACTATGTTGGAGATAGGAGTCGAGTCTCAGCTTTGAGCCATGAAGGAAAATGATCCATTAAAACCCAGTCCTGTGGCTCGCTGATCACCAGTGTGATCTCAGGGTGCAGGAGTTTCTCTGCAGTGCTGTCTGCCAGTGAACATGGATGGGGGTTAGGCATGTTCATGGCAAGGTACAGACAGGTCTGTGTGCAGAGGGAAAAGTGGTCATGGGGATGTAGGGAGAGCACAGTGTGCATGTGTATGGCAAGTTTACCAGAGGAGGTAAAGCTTGTGTGTGTATAAGCACAGTGATACAGTTACAAACAGGTAGGGCTGTAAAAGGTATGTGCAATAACAGGTCAGCATCAGAACAAGGGACAGGGACAGGGAGAGGGATTTTGGGAATCTGCCTGCCATCATCCTCTCCGTGCCTGTGGGTTCCCATTACCAGGCCAGGCCCTCACCTGCTCAGATTTGATGTGCTCTGATGTTTGAAAGACGTCAGGGTAAGAAGGACGCTCAAAAACTCGATCTAAAGCTTCCAGCTGCTGCTGGGTGAAAGTGTCGCCACGAAGGTGCTTCCGCAAACTGTCCACGCTGCTCTGGGAATCTCCATTGGGAACTGAGCCCTCGGATACATCTGCAGGGCACAGACAGAGAAAACAGGGAGTTAGCAACACCCTGGCTTGGATTGGTAATGGCTGCAGGACAAGGACAGAGTGGGAAAGAGGGAGGCTCTGTGCCTCCACCCAGGTAGCTGTGCCACTCCTGAGGGAAGAGGGGGCTGCAGGGGTCCAAGAGGAGCCCCCTCCTCTCTGATGGAGTGGCCAGGCTGCTCCAGTGGGTTCTGTGGGATTCTCCTGCCCAGGATGAGTGAGGCTGTGGAGAATGGCGCTTAGCTCAGAGATGAGTTTCGGTTCCGCTGATTTTCAGTGTTAAAAATTGCCAAATCTCCACTGCCGAGCATAAAATGGGAGCAAAGCACAGCGATTAGCATCGCTAGAAGACCACTGGAGAGGCAGTTCACAGAGAAACAAGAGTGTTGAGGATGGGCTGTAGTGGAGAGGACTGAGGGAGCCTGCAATGGGAAAAAGGCTCTCTTACAGTTTGGAGGTAAGCCAGTCTCTGTTGCAGCTCCCCAGTCCTATGAGCAGCTATCACTGTTCTAATTTCATCGGATCATATCCTAGATGAGCCTTTCATTCCCCTTAGATAACAGGGACATCTGGTTTCTGACTCCATGTTCCACCAGAGACAAATCTCTCCCTGTGGGGCAGCTGTCCCATCCAACATATGTTGGTTTCTGTCCCATTCACCTATGTTTAGCTTGTGATTTATCATGACCCATATCTCTGTTATAAAACTCCCTCCAAAATGAGATGAATCTCTGTCTCTGCCAGACTCCTTTCTTATCCAAAATGAATTATTGTATTACAAAACCTAGGTGGGAATTACAAAATTCCCACCTGCTCAGTGGGATTCAGCCTTCCTTGTATTACTTTGCTCTTACTAGAAATATAGCTGCCTTCTGGTAGAAGCTTCCCTGGAAGTGCACCTCTATTCCTACAGCAGCCCTCTGACACAGTCCAATCTCACAACAGTTCCTCCTGCCATGCTCCAGGGTGTCTCTCTTTCTGTTGTGCCAGCCCACTCATCCCCTCTGCTGTGAGTCTGTTATAAATGCCCTGCCCCAACCAAAGTGATTTTTTTCCTGTGATAAACCATCTGATCACCTATCTGGGTTTGGGTTTGGTTTGGTTTTTTTTCCTCTGTTATCCCCCAACTCAAATGAGGTGCATTTTTCTCTGTTATAACCCCTTTTTATGTCGAGAGAGTCTCCTGCTATTAGCATCTGTCATATCCAAGGTGAGTCTGTCTGTTATAACCTCCTGCCCCAGCTGAAGTGAATCTTCCTCTGTCATAATCCCTCATCTCATCTGAGGCAAGTCTTCTCATTATAATCTCCTCCAACTGTGCTGAGTATCTTTCTGCTGTCACATCTCAGCCTAACTTTGGTGTGCCTGGTAATAATCCCCTCCTTCATCCATGCTGATATACCTCCATACTCTCCATGCTGAATCCTTACCTACTGTACTTCATCAGACACAAGTCTGATTGCCTTATCACCCTGACTAACCTAAGATCAGGTTCTCCCTCTTGTGCTGTAATTATCTTCCTGGTTTTTCACTAATGTGCCTCATACCTAAGCTTTTCTTGGTGGCCTCCAGTCTGTGAATCTCAGAAATCTGCTCTGTGTCAGAAAATTGGTCAAGGGTTCTGTATAGGCCTTTTCCTTCCTCCATGCAATCATGAGGTGCTCATGGACACATGATGCTCCCAGGAGCCTGGAGTGACATTCACTGTGCAGCATCTAGAACAATATCACTCTGCTGCTTCCTCTTTTAGCTCATGGATAGTGCCAAGATGGTATTTTCCTGGCACAGTTAATGCCCAGCTGGTGGCCCAGAGTTATGACTGAGCCTGCTGCCTTCTGGCTATGAGATATATCCGTTTATAGGTGATTATACGATATGATATAATCAATAGTACATTATATACAGTAGCGTAGTACAGTACCACTCACAAGACCATAGAAAATATTACATATTGATTTGTCCCTGCCAGCAGCCTTCCCTCAAGCAGCCTCTTCTCTCTTTCTTTTCCACCCCAAGCCAGAGCAAAGCTGTTTACTGGCACTGATCCCTGGAGTTTTCTCCTCTCCCCAGGCTTATTTGCCCAAGAGAAAGTTATCAATTTCCTGAAATCTGGAGTTTATGACAGATTTGACTAAGAAAACAAAACAAGGATCAGGCTTGCTAGACTGCACACTGTGTGGGCCAGTACAGTTTTCATGTTTTATATGACACTGGGCTGTTTCTGCAGGTGCTGAATTTCAGGAAGACTAGAACCCTGGTCTTCTCTGCAGAAAGCTAGTACAGAACTCCTGGGTCCAGACTCAGAAAAAAAAAAAAAAAGTTTCTGTATCAGCCTCAACCTGTCTGCAGCCTGTGAAGCTGTTTGTCTTTGAGGATTTTTCCACTTGTCACTGAGTGTGTATGATTGTACACACCATGACACTAATACACATGGGTATTTTTGCAGTAGATAATTATTCAGTTATTCTTTAGATTCTGCATCACAGTACATACCTGACCAGGCATTTGTCTGTCTGCGCTGGTTTTGGCTATACCTGATTTTCAAGGATGGCAGCCTTAAACTCCATATCTTGTTTGGTGTGAGTGGACTGATGTACAGTAAAACTTTCACTGATTGTCATTAAACTAGATTTTACCCTTAGTGAGTTGCCCTGAGTGGTTACACAGATTTGTGCACACGTGCACAGGTATTTGCAATTCTGTCTGTCTGCCTTCAGAGCCCTGTGCACATGTGTCTCCCGCGTGTGCACAGGCCATGCCTTTGTGTGAAGAAGCTGAAATCACAGCTTTCCTGAGTCGCTGTAAGAGTCTCTTTTCCTTCATTTATTCAGGGGCCCTTCAGATCTTGACAAATCTGTCACTCTAAATTTGCGGGAGATTATGGTGCTCTCTGCCTAGCACGGAGAGAGGTGATATATGATATCTGCTGCCCCTATTGATTGCCTGATCTGGTGGCAGAGGGCTGGCGAAATGAACTTGAAATGAACATCATGCCTCAACTCATTGTGCGTATAATACACTACTTAATCCCACATTTTTGAGCCGCTATGGAATTCAATTGATCAATCATGTCCCTCTGATAGTACTGTTTTAGGGGTTATTGCTGCTCTGCTCACTGACCTTTCTATTTATTTATTTATTTGTGTCAGAGTGCGTGCGTGTGCATGTGCACACATAAGCGTGTATGTGTATTTGGGAAACCCAGGACCAGCTGATGAGAGAGCATCCGTACAGTCTTTGGGAAATGAAAGAGAAGGATACAGGAAAGAGAAGGGTAAAGAATGAGGTTAAATGAAAAAAAAGAATGATCAAAGCAAGCAAAAGGATAGAGAGGGGTACAAAAGTTGTAAGGAGGAAGACAATGCTTTAGTTTAGGTTGAAATTTCTGGAGGGGAGAGGGAGGAAGGAGGGGGATGGGCCACTCTGCCCTAGCCTATGCTTTAAAATCTGCAAAAGCAAGGAAGCTTTTGACAAAGGCCTGTAGGGTACCTTGAGGCTAATCTTGTCTAAACAGCTTGCAGTAATATTTGGGCTTAGCAGTGGTAGAATGCATGAATCCCAAACTTCACAGAGCAATTATATTAATTGTGCATATATATTTTACTTTTGAAGCAGAGAAGGTATCATAGAGGTGATACTGAAAGACAGATTTGTATGTTTTGTGTTGCTAAAGCTGAGACATTCACAGTCACAGATCGTTTTATTTTCTTCAAAACCAAATGATTGTAAGTCCCTGTGTTTGTCTTCTGGTGTCAAAACCTACAGAGGATGTGTTTTCATTTTTTCCCTGAAACTGCAAGGGCCAGGCACTTATATCTGGTTTTACATCAAAGTTGCAGTTCTCATCTAAGGGTACGACTCTGTAAACTGAACTATCAGGAGAAGCTTCAAATAGTGTAATACACAAAGTATGAGAGCTGAAAGCCATGTGTGTATGAGCAAAGGTGGCAGAAAAGACCAGAGAGGACTTTGGAGAAGAGACTGAGTCCATCAGAGGGCTGTGGGTGCTAGTGAAGAAAGGACTTATGGGAAAAATCTGAATTGGGGAAGACTAGCAGATCCCAGGAGGAATGGCACTGTGGCGGACAACAGTCACTTCAGCTGATGAAGAACAGTGCTAAAAGCTCATGGGACAGGTATTTGCCAAGAAAGCAGATATTGGAAGGGGTCCTGTTCAAAGGGGTAAAGGAAGACTTCAGCTGCAGGATGAGTACAAGGATGCCATGTGGGTAACTGTGGTAACTGTACCCAATAGGAAGCAGCATCATCACCTTTCCCAGTTCCCTTTTAGTAGAAGGGAAACCTCTCTTTTAAATCATAAGAATCTTAGCAAACCATGGCCTCAATCACTGTGTTCCTCACAAAGGCACACATTGCTGTCAATGTGATCAGGCCTTGTACATGTGACAGGAAATATCTCTCCTCCAAGGGACAGCCAAGGGAGTACACACAGCAAATGTTTAGAGTAAACCCTCAACACAAGACACAGAAATGCTCCACGGGTGTCACAGAACTATTCTAACAGATAACAAGGAAATGCTGTGTCAAAGAACAACAGAACAACCTTGACTACATCTGACACAGGGAATATGCCCATTAAATAATTCCAAAACAAAGAGACATTCTCAGGTCTGGAAGCCACAAAGACACCAAAATGTACAAGTAGCACAATGTAGCATAATTCATTACTTTCCGTGGCTACAGACAGAACTCTTCCTCAGGGTGGGACAGAATCATCTCAACAAATAACTCAGAAGTATTGCTGACATAAGGAGATCTTTGTGGCACAGGAACATCTAGGAAGGTCATGAGAAGCTGTGCAGCTACCACACAAACATAGAGATACTGCTCTGTTTTAGGGAAGGGGCTGTTACCATCCCTATGACATGTCTGCCTGCCGTGCTGTGGGGCCCTGATCTCATCTGGGCCCTTGCAGCTCTACCAATAAAAATCACAGTCATAACAAAAGCAAATGTGACTGGCA